AACAGAAAGATAGAAATTATAAAAAGGAACCAAATAGAGGCACCTGAGTGGCTCAGTTGTTAAGCGTCTGCCTTCGGCTCAGGTCATGATCCCAGGGTCCTGGGATCAAGCCCCCCATCTGGCTCCCTGCTCCACAGGAAGCCTGCTTCTCCCTCTCCCACTCCCCCTGCTTGTGTTCCCTCTCTGCTGTGTCTCTCTCTGTCAAATAAATAAATAAAATCTTTTAAAAAGGGCGGGGGGGACCAAATAAAAATTTTGGAGTTGGAAAGTACAATAACAAAAATGAAAAACATAAGCAGAGAGGTTTGATACAAGATCTGAGCAGGCAGAAGAAAGAATCAACAAACTTGAAGCTAGGTCAATTAAGAATATCCAGTCTGGGGGCACCTGGGTGGTGCATTCTGTTGAGCATGGCTCTTGGTTTCAGCTCAGATCGTGGTCTCAGGGTCATGAGACTGACCCCCATATGGGGCTCCGTCATCTGCATGGAATTGCTTGGGATTCTCTCGCCCTTTGTCCCTGCCCCCCTCCAAAATAAATAAATCTTTTTTTCCTAAAGATTTTATACATTTATTCATGAGATACAGAAAGAGAGAGACAGGCAGAGGCAGAGGGAGAAGCAGGCTCCCCACAAAGCAAGGTGCCCATTGTGGGACTTAATCCCAGGACACTGGGATCACAACCTGAGCAGAAGGCAGACGTTTAACCGACTGCATTACCCAGGTGCCCCAAAATAAATAAACCTAAAAAAACAAAAAAACAATATCCAGTCTTCGGGCACCTGGCTGGCTCAGTCAGAAGAGCATGCAACTCTTGATCTTGGGGTGAGTTTCAGCCCCATGTTGGGTGTACAGATTACTTAAATAAATAAACAAAAACTTTAAAAACAACAAACAAAAAGAATATCCAGTCTGAGGAACAGAAGAAAAAAACATAGCTAGGGCAGTGAGGCAATAAAAAGAAAGAAAAGGCATTCAGTCTGGAAAAGAAGTAAAATTTTTCTATTTGCAGGAGCAGCTGGGTGGCTCAGTCAGTTGGATGGCCAACCCTTGATTTCAGCTCAGGTCATGATCTCGGGGTCCTGGGATCCAGCCCCAAGTTGGGCCCCTTGTTCAGCGGGGAATCTGCTTGAGGATTCTCTCTTCCGCTCCCTCTGCCCCTCCCCCCACTCGTGCACTCTCTCTCTCTAAAATAAGTCTTCAAAAACAAACAAACAAAATTTTCTATTTGCAGATGACATGATCTTATATATAGAAAATCCTAAGGAATCCACTAAAAACTAATAAACAAGTTCAGCAAGGTTGCAAAATATAAGGTCAACATACAAAAAGTGATTGTATTTCTATACACAAGTAATGAATATTCCAAATACGAAATTAAGGGGAAAAGTCCATTTACAGTAGTAACAAAAATAATAAAATACTTAGGTATAATTTTAACAAGGAAGTATAATAGAATAGGATTAAAAAAGTGTAAGGCTTATATATTAAAAATTATAAACAATCACTGATAGAAATTAAAGAACTTATTATTAAATAAGGGGGAAGATGTCCCATGTTCATGGACTGAAAGATTTAATATTGCTAAGGTGGTAACACTCTCAAAACTGATCTACAGATTCAGTGCAATCCCTATCAAAATCCTAGCTGGCTTTTTTTTTTTTTTTGAAGACATCGACAATCTGATCCTAAAATTCATATGGAAATGCAAGGGACCTAAAATAAACAACATAATCTTTTTTTTTTTTTTTTTAAGTAATCTCTACACGAACATGGGGCTCAAACTCACAACTCTAAGATCAAGAGTCAGATGCTCTACCAAATGAGCTACCCAGGCACACCAAACAACATAATCTTGAAAAAAGAAAAACAAAATTGGAGGACTCACATTTCCTAATTTCAACTTACCACACAAAATAACAGTAATCAGAACAGTGCTGTAGTGGAATAGAATTGAAAGGCCAGAAATAAATCTTTACATTTATGGTCAACTAATTTTTTTTTTTTTTAAGATTTTATTTATTCATTCGAAAGAGAGAGACACAGCGAGAGAGGGAACACAAGCAGGGGGAGTGGGAGAGGGAGAAGCAGGCTTGCCGCCGAGCAGAGAGCCCTATGCGGGGCTTGATCCCAGGACCCTGGGATCACGACCTGAGCCGAAGGCAGACGCTTAACGACTGAGCCACCCAAGCGCCCCTACGGTCAACTAATTTTCAAACAAGGAGGCCAAGACAATCAAATAGGTCAAGGACAGTCTTTTCAACAAAACGTCCTGGGACAAGTGGATAGCTAAATATAAAAGAATAAAGTTGGAACCATACCTCATATTATACACAAAAATTAACTCAAAATAGATCACAGACCTAAATGTAAAAGCTAAAACTATAAAATTCAACATGAAACACTAGAATAAATCTTCATGACCTTGGGTTAGACAAAACTTTCTTAGACATAACACTAAATGCATAAGCAACAAAAGAAAAAACAGATCAGCAGACTTCATCAAATTTAAAACTTTTGTCTGGGGGTGCCTGGGTGGCTCAGTTGTTAAGCATCTGCCTTCGGCTCTGGTCATGATCCCAGGGTCCTGGGATGGAGCCCCATATCAGGCTCCTTGCTCAGCGGGGAGCCTGCTTCTCCCTCTCCCACTCCCCCTGCTTTTGTTCCCTCGCTTGCTGTGTCTCTGTCAAATAAATAAATAAAATCTTAAAAAATAAAATAAATAAAACTTTTGTCTGTAAACAATATCATCAAGAAGGTGAAAAGACAACTCACAGAATAGGAAAAAATCTCTGCAAATCATGTATCAAATAAGGAACACTTGTATCCATAATAAAGAATTCTTACAACTCAATAAAAAAAGATAAATTATCTAAAAAAGGCAAAGGATTTAAATATACATTTCTTTAAAAAATATATACAAATGGCCAATAAGTACACGAAAAGAAGCTTAATTCAGCATCATTAGTCATCAGGGAAGTGCAAATCAAAGTCATAATGATATTACTTGACACCCACTAGGATGGCTACAATCAAAAGACAGACAATAAGTTTAGTAAGAATAGATAAATTGGGGCCCTCATACATTGTTAGTGGGAATGTAAAATTATGCAGCCACTATGGAAACAGTTTGACAGTTCTTCAAAAAGTTCAACAGAGTTACCATATGATCCAGCAATTTACACTCCTAGATATATACTCCAAAGAAATGAAAACATATACCCACAAAAAAACTTATAAAAAAATGTTCATAGCAGCATTATTCATAATACCCAAAAAGTGGAAACAACCCAAATGTCTAGCAATTGAGGAATGGATAAGCTAAATGTGATATATCTACACAATGGAATATTATTCAGCCATAAAAAGGAATAAAAGTACTGATACATGCTACAACTTGGATGAATCTTGAAAATATTACTCTAAATGAAAGAACCCAGATACAAAAGGTTCATATATTGTCTGATTCTTTTTATAGGATATATCCAGAAGAGGCAAATCCACAGAGACAGAAAGCAAATTAGGGAATGGGGAGTGATTATTTAATGAGTATGGTATGGTTTACAAAATGATGAAAAAGTTTTGAAACTAGAGAGAACTAGTGGTTGCACAACATCATAAATACACTAAATACCACTGATCTATATACTAAAACTGGTTAATTATAAGTTATGTGAATTTCACCATAATTTTTTAAAAAATAAATTAACTTACAGGGGGAAAAAAGTATATGCCCATACTAAAAAATAAATGTGAGAGTATATACTTTACAATTCCATTTATATAAAAATCTAGACAATGCAAACTATTCTATAGTGACAAAAGTTGATCAGTGGTTGCCTAGGATCACAAGTTGAGGGAAGTATTAAAAATGGGGATAAGGAAACTTGTGGAGGTGATATTTTCATTATCTTGACTGTGGTAATAGCTTCATGGGCGAATAACACATCAAAACTTAACAAACTGTACACTTTTAATACGTACAGTTTACTGTATATTAATTATAGCTCAAGATCTATTTTGAAAAAGATGGGGAAAGGGGAAATAGGGCAATGTATTCATGCTGGCAACTCAATAACTGATAAGGGAGTGATAAAAGCAGTTTTATTTTACCTTGATGAGTATACAAACAACACCTGGCAAAATTGTACATGGAGAACCACTCATAGCAGCATATAAATTTGAATTTCTGTATATTTACAAATACTTCTATTAACCAACATTATACTTTCAGAGATCCTGAATCTTCATTTTTGACTAATTTTTGGGTAGTGCTAAAATCCCTCTCAGTTCTGGCAAGTACTACCATTAGTATGATCTGTAAATAAACATTTAGACATACCAAGAAAGCTCCTACAAGAAGCCCTAATAAGGTTCCTTAAAGCTAAAATATCTGAGAACAGTATTTCAAATGTGATGAAAACAACACAAAAGAGTCCTATCATCCATACTAATAATCTTTTAAGAATTCCCCCGTTAATATCTATTAACCTTTTGTAAGATGAAGTAAATACCTATTTTGTAAGGTAAATATCTATTTACCTTTCGTAGATATTCACTCAAATTTAAACTATTTCAAACTTAGAAAAGCTTTAAAGTTAAAACTCTAAATTGGATTTTTCTTTACCAAAAAGTATGTCCATTGTTTCAAAGACAAACAAAAAGTATGATGCATTCACTAGTGGGAAAAGTTATGGAAATGAGGGTGAAGTTCAGTCAAAACCACTTTACAGTCGTGAGGAATGACATCATCTAATGACATCATCTAATGACATCAGCTACCATCATCTCTCACTTCGACTACAGCAGTAGTCTTTTTTATTTAATTCAGGTGAACTCAGTCTTAATATACTTTAGTCTCAGTTTCTTCATCTATTAAATGGGTACAATAACACTTCCAACCTCACGAGGTTGCGTGACAATTAAATGAGAATACAGGTATAGCACTTAGTTTGTTGCCTAGCATACGGAAAGTGCTCCATAAATGTTACCTATTATTACCTGAATAAATGTTCAGCCTCCATGAGTCCAGTGCTGGAATGGCATCTCATATAAGAAACAAGTCTAACCTCAAAAAAAAAAAAAAAAAAGTTAAAAGCAATTTAAATCTTAATATATTGAGACTCCCAAAGAAAATTAAAATATCCATTTCAAAATCCACAGCAGCTTCTTTTTTTGTTTTTTAAGATTTTATTTATTTGAGAGACAGAGAGAGTGCACACATGAGCAGGGGAGTGGGAGAGGGAGAAGCAGACTCCCTACTGAGCAGCGAGCCCAACTTGGGGCTCAGTCCCAGGACCCGGAGATCATGACCTGAGTCGAACACAGACGCTTAACCTACTGAGCCACCCAGGCGCCCCTCCACAGCAGCTTCTGAATATCTTCTTTCCCAATTCCTTTTGCTCACAATGTTTCTCATAACCCTACACCTGCCCTGAACCCTCTATATCCATTCCTACTTTTTTTTTAATCCATTGCTTTAATGCACAGTTTTATTTTTTTATTTTTATTATTTTTTTAAGTAAACTCTACGCCCAACATGGGGCCTTGAACTCACGACCACAAGATCAAGAGTTGCATGCTGTGGGGCGCCTGGGTGGTTCGACCAGACTCTTGGTTTGAGCAACCGACTTGGTTTCCACTCAGGTCATGGTTTCGGGGTCCTGGGATCAAGCCCTGCCATCAGGCTCCAGGCTGGGTGAGGAGTCTGCTTGAGATTCTCTGCCTCTCCCTGTCCCTCTGTCCCTCCCCCAGCTAGCACTCACTCTCTCTCTAAAATAAATAAATAAAATCTTAAAAAAAAAAAGTCGCATGCTCTACCAACTGAGCCACCCAAGGGCCCCTACCTATTCCTATTTTCAATTCACAATACAACACTCTGCTCACTTGGCTCTTTCTCCTCTAATGATCCACTCTTCTTATAAGCAGTTCTTGGTCCACTTTCTAATATAAGTTAATCATCCAGTCTTACTGCTTGAAATTCTTCAGCTGTTTTCTACCCATTATCCTTTTATACAAGACAATTCTAGAAACTGAGCTATCAGATAGGGAATCTCTCTCAGTAGATGAGAAGAATATAAAGAAGCCAGAGACAGAATTTCCTTCTGTGAGTAGAAACAAATACTACAAGCACATAATTTAGTATCTCCCCTCTCTGACTACAATATTTGCTATTATTATTATTGCCATTGCTATTACAGGACTCTGAGAGCTAGCTGCTGCTTAATCCACAGTAGAAACTCTGAGTGCTGAATGCCACCACTAGAACCGTTAATATGCCAAGCCAGTCTGTGTTCTTGGAACCCTCAAAATACCTAAGCCCTGCTGTGTCCTATGCTGAAGTGAAGAGCATCCCTAACTCTTCAGTTTTACAACTCTATACCATGAGTATCACATTGCTAAAGTCTGCCTTTCCGATACTGTACTAAGATTTCTATGAAAAAGCTCTTGTGGTTTCTTTATAGCCCCTGTACTTTCGGGTTTTGGCATTAGAGATGTGTGGGAGTTTGGTAAGGGTTGGGAGGCATGGCCAGGATATCGCCCTTCCCCTTTTCACCACCAACCTTGGTCCTGAAACACTGTCTGCCTGGTGATTTTGTCCCCCCAGGAAATTTCTCCCCTATGCAAAGAAATTACTAGTTGCCTTTCCCCACAGGCCCTCAAGCCGTGCCCAGATGTGCCTGATTTTTAAGTGGGCATAGTAAGTTCATGCTGAGAGCCTTGCCATACCAAGAGTTAGTTCTCTATCCAACTCTGACTTAGAGAATCAAGAGCAACATAATTCAAAACACACACTAGGACTTACTGATGTTATGGTTTTCTTGCCCTATTTGTAATTTTATCAAAATTAAAAGTGGAATACTTTCAGAAAGAAGTTCAATTCCTTTCTGCCGTCCATCCTCCATAACCCCCATGTAGTTTGCTAATAAAATGCTATAGCCTCATAACTAATTTCTCTACTTCCTCTCTGGGCACTCTCCTATATGTTCTCCCCAGAGAAGCATGAGTGATCTTTTAAAACTGTAAATCAGATCATTTAGCTTTCTTGATCAACCAGCTTCTTTCTACCAATGGTTTTCCATCATCCTAAGTGAGGTCTACAGAGCCCTACAAAATCTGGCCCCTGCCTATTCTTGAACATACCAAACCACATACTCCCCATGAGGCCTTTGTTTTCTTGTTCCTCCTGCCCAGAACACTCTTCTCCCATCAGGAAACGCTGGTTCTGCCTCCCTTTTAGTTCACACACCACTATAAAAACGTCTTCCTGACCATCCCATCTGGCTATACCCTCTCCCTTACTCTCAGTCACATCACCACATCTATTTTCTTCATACTATTCACCACAATCTGTAATTATTTATTTGCAAATTGTCTATCTTTTTAAATGAAATCTTGTATGTCTTGTTCTTATCTGTACCTCCAATGTGAAACAGTGCCTGACACAGAAGCACTGTAACAGTTTTCTGTCTGATTAATTTACAAAGCTAAGTACTACCTCTGAGATAAACTTCAGTTTTTAAAAAATTTTTTAAACTTATTTGTACAGCCAGGGTGCCTGGGTGGCTCAGTCATTTAAGGGTCTGCCTTCGGTGCAGGTCATGATCCTGGGGTTCTGGGATCGAGTCCCACATCGGGCTCCCGGCTCAGCAGGGGGAAGTCCGCTTCTCCCTCTGACCTTCCCCCCTGCTCATGATCTCTCTCTCACTCAAATAAATTAAAAAAAAAATAAAAATAGAAAAACAAACTTATTGTCAATAGGACGGCCAAGCCGTCAAAACCCTGTGTTCTTGTCTTCATTCTAACAAACTGCCTCGTATTCTCAGCTCCCTTGCTTTCTCTGAAGACAAAATTTGCACTCAGAAAATAAGATGGCAATCTTATCTGGCAACACTGTTCTCTGGGGTCTGTGAGACCCAAACCCAAGGTTCTCAGGCAGCAGCAACTGACAAAGATCTGGTTACCAGCACTGCACTAAGGAGTGCCTCACAACCCAGAACAACCAGGTTAAACTGATACAAGGTGCAAACGCCTTTAAGAGAACACAGTTGATAAAGAGTTCTGTGAAGTACTCCAAACGCCTTGAAGATAACCTCACAAGAGTAGGAAGATTCAGTTTAGCCATCTGACTGGTGGTGTGTTCTATAAAGCCTTAATAATGATCCTGTCACTAGGAAAACAGATACTGTGCCCTAGCCTTCTAATCAGCTGCATTTAGCAGCCAACATCCATCTTTTGCAATCAAATGCCACCTCTAGAGTTCCTATTCCCATCAAATTATCACAGGTTTGGGCAACAGATAAATCAGAAACTACAGTTAACAAATCTACTTGTCTGGGACCCAAGACAATTAATTAAACCTACTTGGAAAAGCAGAATAAATAGCCTCCAGTCACCTGGAGACAAGTTTTAAAGATCCTAACAACTGTAACACTTGGACACACCAAAATGGCTGTAATCTGCAAACCAGCCACATGTCACTTCCAATAGTACTCTTACACTGAAAGTGACCTTCCCCCTCCAAAATAAATAATGTTTAAAGTCAGGTGAATCTTGAACAGTGACTCTGACTTTTCTCTAAAATAAGGGCTATGACAGCTACCTTAATGAGAGGCCCAATAAATTCAGGGTAAGGGGCTCATTGTGCTGACACTGTCACCTCATCTAGGACTTCAGCTGATTCATCCCGATGGGCTGACAGGTCACTGACATCTGCACCTTGCCCAAGATTCTTGTTTATTTCACATATAAAAACACTGTCTCCTCAAGACAACTGCAGTCCAGACCAGTCCAGACAGGTCTCCTGACTTCACTGAGACCTCGGGAAAAAAAGTTGTCATTTCAGGCTCATATTAGTAACTCTAGATGGCTAACAAGGCATGGAAGAGATGGGAATAGAGCTCATAAAAGGACCAGTGTTAACATTCAGGTCTTACCAATTTTTAAAAAAAGGATAAAAAGAAAAAGATCAAAATCACCTGGGGAAGAAACTAATCTCTTCATCATTAAGAGATGCTTGGTATTATTATGGTGATTTGGAAAACAGTCACAAAGTCAGGACCTGAAAATGTCTGGTCCTTGGCCACACCAAGTAATCACAGACGACATCCTTTAAGTAAGCTCTGTTTTAACATAAACTTCAAGAAGAAAGACAAAGCAATAATAATTTTTAAAAAACCCCACAAACTATCCAATTCATTTAAAAGGAGCAATGGAAGGAAGGGAGTAAGAGAGAGAAAAGGAGAAAGAAAGAAAGGAACAAGGAAGAACAATGAATGCCTAATGTTGTAGATCAAACATGGCCACAAATTATTTGCAGCAATTCCCATCAAAAAGTGGAGTTCATCTCCTTACCCTTTGAATCTGAGCTGGCCTTGTGACTTGTTTCGTCCGACAGAATGTGGCAAAAATGACACTGTGCAATTTCTGAGCCCAGGCCTTAAGAAACCTTGTAACTTTCACTCTCACTCTCTTGGGACCTAGTCACCATGCAAGGTAGCCAAGAAAGACTGCATGAGAGGCCACGGTACCCTGGATGACAGCTCCAGCCTAATGATGGACAACACTGGAGTGAGGCTATCCAGGTACAACCAGCCCCTGGCTAACCTGCCAACTGATCACAAACACATGAGTAAGCCCAGCAAATTCCATGTGCAATAGAGGCAAGCCAGATGGGCCCTGCCCAAATTGCCAGCCCACTTAATCATAAGCAAATAAACACTTGGGTTTTTTTGGTTTTGTTTTTTTTTTTAAGATTTTATTTATTTGACAGAGAGAGAGCGAGAGCACAAGCAGGGGGAGAGGCAGGCAGAGGGAGAGGGAGAAGCAGACTCCCCGCTGAGCAGGGATCCCTATGTGGGGCTCAATCCCAGGGCCCTGGGATCATGACCTGAGCCAAAGGCAGACGCTTAACCGACAGAGCCACCCAGGCACCCTAATAAATAGTTGTTTTAAGCCACTAAGATTTGGAGTGGTTTGGTTGACAACAATAGGTAACAGAAATACCCGCAATCAGATGAGACTAATTCAAAACATCAATAGTGACACACTCAAAAGCAGCATGTGCATTCCCATCATGTAAGGAAACTAGAATCTCTAAATAATATATAGAACCACTCTTCATAGATAAGACATATATCCCAGAATCCCAGCAAAACACTCATTAATAAATTTGTTCCAGCATCTATCCCACATGTAAACACCTGCAGAAGATATGTGCAAATATATGTATCCCACAAAGGACTCATATATAAGATATACAAAAAAATTCTACAAATCAGTAAGAAAAAGACAAACAGCCCAATTTTTTAAATGGACAAGAACTGAAAGCACTGGGGCGCCTGGGTGGCTCAATCGGTTGAGTGTCTGCCTTCCGCTTAGGTAGTGATCCTGGAGTCTGGGGATTGAGTCTTGCAACGGGCTCCCCGCTCAGCGGGGAGGCCTGCTTCTCCCTCTCTCTCTGCTCCTCCCCCCATCCCGCTTGTTCTCTCCCCACCCCACTCTCTTAAATAAAAATAAACAAAATCTTAAAAAAAAAAAAGTTGAAAGCACTTCACAAAAGAGGATCCTTGAAAGACCAATATGCACATAAAGACACTCCACATCAGTGGTCATCAGGGAAATGCAAATTAAAGCCACAAAAAGACATCACTACATCCCCAACAGCTACAGTTAAAAGGACTGACAGTACTAAGTATGGTCAAAGACACAGCATAACCAGAACTCTCATACATTGCTGGCAAGAGAATAAATTAATATAACCACTTCAAAAAACTGGTAGTACTTATACTTCTATCCCATGAACTAGCAATTCCATTCCTGGGCATATAACCAGAGTGCTTACATCTATGAAAAGACATGTATAAAGTGTTCACAGCAGTATTATTCCTAACAGTCCCAAACTATAAACTCAATGGAAAACATATGGTACAATCAGAAAATGAACATTACCTACCAATGATAAAGAACAAACCATTGCTATATGCAACTACATTCATGAATCTCAAAGACAATGTTGAGCAAAAAAGACACAGTAGTATATACTGTATGATTCTATTAACATGAAATTCAAAAACAGATTAAAACTAATCTATGGTAACAGAAGTCAGATTAGTGATTCTGCAGATACAAGAGTATTTGAGGGGATAGCTTATAACTGACATGATGATGGATGCAGCTGGTTGTGTACCTGATCATCCAGCCAACCAACAGATGCTGCTAGGCTTAGTTCTGCTTTAGGAAGGACACACTCTAACCCCTGCACTGGTTTGTACAGCCTGGCCTTTTGTGGCTCCATGACCAAGTCAGTGCCTTAGTTTAAAACCTCATCACTTTCCACTGGCCTCCTTAACGCAAAACACACTATGATAAGGGTAATCTTTAAAAAATACAAATATGATGGCATAATCCACCCACACCCCTACCATACACACACTCCCCTTCTTAAAATCCTTCAAAGACTCTCCATTTCTTATAGGATAAATTCAGCACTCTTTAGCAGGATACTTAAGTTCCTTTATGATCTGGCCCCTGACTACCTTTTTTCTTTCTCTCCATATATCCTGAGTTCCATAACAAAGTATTTGTAGTTGACCTAGAAAGCTATGCTTTTTTCTCACCTCAGTATCTCTAGCTAAGTAATGCATGTTCTACCTAGAACAGCAGTTCTCGAAGTACGGTCCCAGGAGGTCTAAGAGGTCCAGTATTTTCACAACAACAAGATCTTATTTATTATGATAACACTAAGATGTTATCTGCCTTTTTCACCATGGTGAAATGGTAGGTATAATTGCCACTCTTAGCATAAATCAAGGCAGGGGTATCAAATTGTACTAGTACTAGTACTATCATATTCTTCACCACCCCACACCTGCAGCTTAAAAAAGAAAAATTTTACTTGTAAATGTCCTCGATAAAGCAGTAAAAATTAATAATTTTATTAAATTCCACTCTTGAGTACATGTCTTTTTAATAATCGGAATGGCAAAATGGGAAGTATAAACTAGTTCTGCAGCATATCAAAGTACAATAATTGTCTCAAGGAAAAGCAACTGAGCTGCAAGCTAAACTAGCTACTTTTTTCGTGGGATACTATTATTTCCTGAGTAAGCAAATAACAGGCAAACTATGGTTATGTGGCAATGTTCTGCACAAAAATGAACAAAATGAGCCTGTTCCTTCAAAGAAAATAAGTGATAGTATTTGTTGTCAGTGATAAAATTCAAGCTTTTCAGCTAAAATCAAAATTTTGAAAAAGTGTATCTTCTCTGAGCTTGAAAACTTCTTAAGACTTTTCTGATGAAATGACAGTGATATTCATGAGTTTTTTTTTACTTGTATAATGAACTGTGTCAAACATCTGGAAGATCTGCGTAACTCGGTGACCAGTATTTTCCAACTGATCAATTCATGATAATTCAAAAATCACACATGGATAAAAGATCCATTCAATGTACAAAATAAATGAATTTTAATGTCACTAAGTACAAAAGTTCATTAATATGGTTTCAGATTCTACACTGGAACTAATCTTTAAGGAACTACCACATGTTGAGTTCGGGTATAGTATCAAAGAATATCCAATTACCCAAAGATATTAAAATACTTCTCTATTTTCCAACTACATATCTCTGAGGCTGGATTTTTTTTTTTCAAATACTTCAACGAACATGACATAGTGCAACAGATTGAATGCTGATGCAGATGAGAATGCAGCTATCCTCTATTAAGCCAGACATTAAAGAGATTTGCAAAAATGTAAAACCATGTCCGTCCTTCTCACTAAATCTTTTGTTTTAAAAAAATTTTTCAGGGCACCTGGGTGGCTCAGTTGCTTAAGCGTCTGCCTTTGATTCAGGTCATGATCCCAGGGTCCTGGGATCGAATCCCACATGAGGCTCTCTGCTCAGCGGGGAACCTGCTTCTCTCTCTCCCTCTGCCTACTGTTCTGCCTACTTGTACTCTCTCTGTCAAATAAATAGGTAAAATCATTAAAAAAAAAAAAAGTGTTTTGTTTTTTTTTTTAAAAAAGGTTTTTTCATTTAAAAAATGTGTTACAGGGGCGCCTGGGTGGCTCAGTCGTTGGGTGTCTGCCTTCGGCTCAGGTCATGATCCCAGGATCCTGGGATTGAACCCTGCATGGGGCACCCTGCTCAGCGGGAAGCCTGCTTCTCCCTCTCCCACTCCCCCTGCTTGTGTTCCCTCTCTCTGTCAAATAAATAAATAAAATCTTTTATAAATAAATAAATAAATACAGTGTTACATATAGTAATATGTAAGGAACTTACTATTATTTTAATGAATTAATAAATATTTAAATATTTTCCTAGTTTTGACTTCCAATACAGTAAATACTGGCAGATATAACCTACATAAATAAAAGTTCTTTGGTGTCTATAATAATTTTTCAAAGAATTGAGAGGTCAGAGACCAAAAAGTTTGCTAATTTAGAATTTCCCCTGCCCGTCTCGTGCTTCAAGGCCCTTAGAATTTAGGTAAAGTTAACCTGCTATATTTGCATAGTGGAGAGCAAAGACTACACTCTTTCATAGGCACTCAATCAGTGGTGTGTTACAAGAAGGCTAAAACGTAATTTGATGCCTATGCCAAGTGCTCCACTATAAATATGCATGGATAAAAAAATTTCAAATTGGTTATTTTGTATATAGCCACCATAACCAAATCTTCTGTCTCAAATCTGGAATCAATTGCTAGTAGAATGTAAACTGCCAGGGACGCCTGGGTGGCTCAGTTGGTTAAGCAGCTGCCTTGGGCTTGGGTCACGACCTCAGGGTTCTGGGCTGGAGACCCGCATCGGGCTCCCTGCTACTCCCTCTCCCTCTCCTGGGGAGCCTGCCGCTCCCCCTGCTTGTACGTTCTTGCTGTCAAATAAGTAAATAAAATCTTTTAAAAAAAAAATGTAAACTGCCTATATTCTTACTTTTTTAATGCCTATATTTTTAGAAGGCAATTTTACACTATGTTTAAAAATTATAAAAGTATACATTTTTAGCAATTTACCTTAATAGTTTATTATTCCAAATACGGAAAATGACATATGTACAAGGTTATTCATGAAGCACTCTTTGTAACTGCAAAAGACTGGGGAAAAAATCAAAATTCTCTTTAATAGGAGAATGATAAAATAAGCAGTACAAACATATCCTGTAATACTCTTTAGACATACACAAGAATAAGGAAATTCTTGTACTTACAGGTTATACTGCTAAGTAAAAAAAGCAAGACACAGAACCATTTTAGTAAAATGGGGGAAACAATATATATACATATTTACATATATGCTTATAAGAAGATAGGATGTGGGCACCTGGGTGGCTCAGTTGGTTAAGCATCTGCCTTTGGCTCAGGTCATGATATCAGGGTCCTGGGATCAAGCCCCGCATAGGCCTCCCTGCCCAGTGGGGAGTCTGCTTCTCTCTCTCCCTCTGCTCCTCCCCTGGCTCGTGCTCTCTCTCTCTCTCTCTCTCTCTCTCAAATAAATAAAATCTTTAAAATTTTTTTAAATTAAATTTTTAAAAAAAGAACACAGGATGCACAAAAACTGGTAATAAACTGGTAATAATAGTTGCCTCTGGAAAGAGGAACTGACTAGTTTGGGCTATAGAAGCAAGAAGAAAACTTCACTCAGCTTTTTTCTATCCTTAGAATTTTGAACCATGTAAATGTAATACCAATTTAAAAAGTAAATCTAAAAATGTGTAAAAATCTTCCATTTCACAGAAGGAATAACTTATCTTTTTTTTCTAGCCTCAAAAAATATTGACTCCTAATTTTTAACTGTATGTTCAGTGCTGCCTAAACCAGGTAACTATAATTGATATAAAAATAAAAGATACCCACTATGAAGCCTTTGAATTAATGTGTTAAGTGGTTAACTAGTGATTTGGGGGTAAGGTCAGGATCTTCATCTTTTATCTCATATACTTCTGAATTATTTAAATTTCTTACAGTGAGTACGTATTACTTTTGTAATTTGAAAAATGTCAAGATTGAAGACATTATATTAAAAAACCTATAGTTTTGGGGCACCTGGGTGGCTTAGTCAGTTAAGTGTCTGCCTTCGGCTCAGGTCATGATCCCAGGGTCCTGGGATCGAGTCCCGCATCGGGCTCTGTGCTCAGCGGGAAGCCTATGTTCCTTCTCTTGCTGTGTCTCTCTCTGTCAAATAAATAAATAAAATCTTTTAAAAAAAACAACCTAGTTCTGACTTTGAATTGAAAATACTGATATGAACTTGTGATACACTTTCTTAAAAAAAAAAAAAGCCACCTTATTTCCTAGCCTTGTTCACTGAAAACAGAAAGAAACAATGACCAACTCACTAAGCAATTAGTACCTCTTACACACAGAGTAGTCTCTAAACTTCATTTCCACAAAACAAAGAAGCTATCATAGCTAAGGGATCACATCAAAAAGACACTAGAGTCAAAAAAAAAAAAAAAGGCTAGAGCCAACCTGAAGAAGCTCCCATTTGCCAAGACGAAGCAATCAATGAGACATCAATACAGATAAAACTGTAATTGCTGAAACACATAAATAGGCTTAAATTGCAGTTTATGACAAAAAAAAAAAACAAACCCTTATCAATCACCTTTGCAGGATGTTAGTGAACAAAGTCATTATTTTGAAAACAGTAATAACTGTTAATTAAAAGAAAGACTCAAGCATTTGTCTCACCTTTCCTGTGCAAGATGTACCTCACAGTAACCAAACAGGTGATGGAGAGGATATCTCTTTATAAAAACATTCCAGCTAAAATAAATTAAGAAATGATAGAATTTGAGTATCACCATTTAAAACCCCCTAATGAAGTTCAATGAAGTAAAGGGGGTATAAACAATGATCATCAATGGCTGCTGACATCATAAAAATGAGACTAACAGACATCACACACCTCCTCCTAATAAAAGCGCACTATAAAGTATTCTAGCCAAAACAATGAATCTAAATCTGGTCAAATCTCTAGATGTAACTGCCAATTTGAAGAAAATACAGAGGAGAGAGAAACATGTTAAATGACACTAGTATGATGTTAATCACCAAATCCATCTGTGGGATGACCCAGTCCTTCAACAAATAAACTGCAAAGAAAAAAAAGGGGGGGGGGATCTTTTAGATTAAGAGACTCTAAAAATATGGGTGCCTGGGTGGCTCAGATGGTTAAGCATCTGCCTTCGGCTCAGGTCATGATCCAGGGTCCTGGGATCGAGTCCCACGTCAGGCTCCCTGCTCCGCAGAGAGCCTGTTTCTCCCTCTCCCTCTGCTGCTCCCCCTGCTTGTGCTGTCTCACTCTGTCTGTCAAGTAAGTAAATAAAATCTTTAAAAAAAGAGAGAGACTCTAAAAATACATTGACCAACTACAAGGTATAGACTTTATTTGGATCCCATTTTTTTTTTATTTGAATCCTGTTTTAAACATATAGTCTGTTTTAAAAACTTATGATACAATCAAGGAAATATGAACACCAGATATTTATATATTAAGAAATTACTGTTATTTTAGATGTACAAATAGTATTGGTATTGTTTTTTAAAAGTCCCTATTTTTGGAGGGGAAAAATGAAGCGGGGGAAATCGGAGGGGGAGACGAACCATGAGAGACGATGGACTCTGAAAAACAAACTGAGGGTTCTAGAGGGGAGGGGGGTGGGAGGATGGGTTAGCCTGGGGATGGGTATTAAAGAGGGCACGTTCTGCATGGAGCACTGGGTGTTATGCACAAACAATGAATCATGGAACACTACATCTAAAACTAAATGATGTAATGTATGGTGATTAACATAATAATGTGTGGTGATTAACATAATAAAAAAATAAAAAGAATTAATACATATACCATAAAAAAAGTCCCTATTTTTTAGAAATATATACTGAAATATTTATGGATGAAATAATGTCACAGATTTGATTCAAAACAATTAGGAAAGGGGGTTGGTAGGAGCATAGATGAAACCATGTTAGCAATAAGCTGATAACTGTATATGGGGGTTCATTTTACTATTCCCACTGCTTTTGGATGTTTGGAATTTTTCATAATAAAGTTTTTTAGAAAGCAAATTTCAGGGTGCCTAGGTGGCTCAGTCAGTTAAACATCTAACTCTTGGTTTCAGCTCAGGTCAAGAGTTGTGGGATTACGGGTGCCTGGGTGGCTCAGTTGGTTAAGCGACTGCCTTCGGCTCAGGTCATGATCCTGGAGTCCCTGGATCGAGTCCCACATCGGGCTCCCTGCTCGGCAGGGAGCCTGCTTCTGCCTCTGACACTCCCCCCTCTCATGTGCTCTCTCTCTCTCATTCTCTCTGTCTCAAATAAATAAATAAAATCTTTAAAAAAAAAAAAAAAAAGAGTTGTGGGATTGAGCCCATCATCGGGCTCTACACTTAGTGGGGAGTCTGCTTAAGGATTCTCTCCCTCTGCCCTTCCCTCCCACTCTCTCTCAAATAAATCTTTTTTTTTTTAAAGATTTTATTTATTTGAGAGAGAGAGAGTGTGCACAAGCAGGGGGAGAGGCAAAGGAAGAGGGAGAAGCAGGCTCCCCACTGAGCAGGGAGCTGGATGCAGGGCTCAATCCCAGACCCTTGAGATCATGACCTAAGCCGAAGGCAGATGCTTAACCAACTGAGCCACCCAGGCACCCCTCAAATAAATCATCTTTTTAAAAAATTTTTTTAAATAAAGAATAAAAGGCAAATCCCAAAAACAAAATATATATATATATGAAATACAACCAGTGAAATGAAATTTGGATAGTAATCTTCTATTGAAGTCCAGTTCACTACCTACCCCTTTCCCTACCTTTCTGTACTGGTTTCTCTCTTTCTCTGTTTCTTTGTACTAAACAATTAGACTCAACTAAATTATACTGCATTCTGTTTTATATTACAGAATCTAATCCATTATATCTACTGTTGTTTTGATCATCAAATGTTCATGTTTTATCTCCACAGCCAGCCAGTAAGGTCCTTTAACACACACAAAAATTTTAGATTCCACAGCCCTAGAATGAAGCTAAACATTCTAATAGTCCTAAGTACCTTATGTGACACTCAAGTTGTCTCCAGAAAACCCTAGGACCTGTGGAAAAATGGAATATTCTTCTTTGTCAACCTAAGGGCCATTATGTGGTAAAATTAAGTTTTTATTCTAGTAAAAGCACATAATACTTTCTTCAAATTTTACAGGGATCCCTTTTGTGACATCAAAATGCTGTTTCTAGCAACTTTAGGCAAGCTAATAAGCACAAGCTTTTCCTCCCAGAATTCAAATGGGCATATATTTATACTCTTTCAAAGAAACAGAATTATATATTACTAAGGGTTTTTTTCTTAAAGATTTTATATATTTATTTGAGAAAGAGAGCGTGGCAAGCAAGAGAAAGAGCGCACGAGCGGGGGGAGGGGCAGAGGAAGAGGGATAAGCAGACACACACACACCCTCCTCCCCCCGTCCCCCCGCCAAGGGGGAGCCCAACTCAAGGCAATCCCAGAACCCTGGAATCATGAGCTGAGCAGAAGGCAAACACTTAACCAACTGAGCCACCCAGTGGCTATATATTACTAGGTTTAAATACAAATTTTCTTAGTTAAGTGATTGGTTAAATATGCTGAAGTTATTTAATAAAACTTCAGCTGCAATATAAAAAGAGAGCTTACCCCAAGAAATAGTCTCAAAGCCCAGGAAACAAAGAACTCACTACCTAACTGGAGACTAATCAAGAGTGCTGGAAAATAAATCTATTGGAGTACTTACAAGTTTTGAGTTGAGAACTTACAAGCTTTATCGTTTTTGTTTTTTAAAGATTTTATTTATTTTTGAGAGATAGAGTGTGTACAAGCAGGGGAAGCAGCAGGCAGAGGGAGAGGGAGAAGCAGGCTCTCTGCTCAGCAGGAAGCCCGATGTGGGGCTTGATCCCAGCACCCTGGGAACATGACCTGAGCCGAAGGCAGACCCTTAACCATCTGAGCCACCCAGGCACCCCTACAGCACCTGTATCATTTTAATAAATGTTTTTAAATAACTGATTTTCCCTCTAATTATAAAAGAAATCCATGTTCTTTTTTAAATAGAGATAAGCAAGGACACCTGGGTGGCTCAGTCGGTTAAGTGTCTGCCTTCGTCGGCTCAGGTCATGATCCCAGGGTCCTGGGATTGAGCCCCACAACAAGCCCCGCAACAAGCCCCGCATCCAGCTCCCTGCTTGGCAGGGAGTCTGCTTTTCCCTCTGCCCCGCCCCCCCCCCCGCTCTCTCTGTCAAATAAATAAATAAAATCTTAAAGATAGATAGATAGATAGATAGATATAAGCAAAAAGAAAATAAAAACCAGGGTGCCTGGGTGGCTGTCGGTTGGGGATCTTCCTCCAGCTTGGGTCATGATCGCGGGGTCCTGGGATTGAGCCCTACATGGAGCTCCCTGCTCAGCTGGGAGCCAGCTTCTCCCTCTCCCTCTGTCCCTCCCCCCTGCTCGTGTTCAATCTCTCTCTCTTAAATAGATAAATAAAATCTTAGAAAGAAAGAAAGAAAAGAAAAGAAAAAGAAAAACCATCCTGCTACCTCCTTCATAACATTTTGTCTCAATAAATAGTAAATTCTTTGGGGGCAGCTCATTTCCCCAACAAGATCCCTCACATCTAGAATTCATCTATGGAAGCCCCAGCAGAAAAGGAGGGGGAAAAAAGCACACAGGCTTAATTCAACAAGAGTAATATACGGATTTGTTGTCAATTTTTTTATATTTCGCCATTTGTATAAATCTAGGGTCAGAAAAAAACATATATTCCATTTGTATGGATTTTTCTTGGTTTATAATAATTTTATTGGCATTTTCCCAGCATCCTTAAAATGTCTTACTATAGTAGCAACAAAGTCCTACATTTCCAGTTGCCAAATCAGGTAGTAAACACATCATAGTCACTCTATATGTAAAATCTTACTCTATTTTAACTTATATTTAAAATAGTTACTTAAAATAACCATTCCTTTTATTTCCTATTTCTTTTATTGAAGTCCTACCAACTCCATCGACAGATTTTCACATTTCATGTACAGTTAAACATACATGGAATTAGTTTCTCCTCAAAATATCCCACGAATCAGAAGACATGAACAGACATTTCCGCAAAGAAGACATACAAATGGCCAACAGACACATGAAAAAGTGTTCAACATTACTCGACATCAGGGAAATACAAATCAAAACCTCAATGAGATACCACCTCACACCAGTCAGAATGGCTAAAATTAACAAGTCAGGAAACGACAGATGTTGGCGAGGATGTGGAGAAAGGGGAACCCTCCTACACTGTTGGGAATGCAAGCTGGTGCAGCCACTCACAAATCCATATATTACTCTTGTTGAATTAAGCCTGTGTGCTTTTTTCCCCCTCCCTTCCTGCTGGGGATTTCATAGATGAATTTTAGAAGTGAGGGACCTTGTTCCTTGGGGAAATAAGCTGCCCTCAAAGAATTTACTATTTATTGAGACAAAATGTTATAAAGGAGGTAGGAGGATGATTTCTTTTCTTCTCTTTTCTTTTCTTTCTCCAAAACAGTATGGAGGTTCCTCAAAAAGTTGAAAATAGAGCTACCCTATAACCCAGCAATTGCACTACTGGGTATTTACGCCAAAGATACAAATGTAGTGATCCGAAGGGGTACATGCACCCCAATGTTTATAGCGGCAATGTCCACAATAGCCAAACTATGGAAAGAACCTAGATGTCCATCAACAGATGAATGGATAAAAAAGATGTGGTACACACAAACAAACAAACAAACACACACACACACACACACACAATGGAATATTATGCAGCCATCAAAAAATGAAATCTTGGGGCGCCTGGGTGGCTCAGTCATTAAGCGTCTGCCTTTGGCTCAGGTCATGATCCCGGGGTCCTGGGATCAAGCCCTGCATCGGACTCCCTGCTCTGCGGGAAGCCTGCTTCTCCCTCCCCCACTCCCTCTGCTTGTGTTCCCTCTGTCGCTGTGTCTCTCTCTGTCAAATAAATAAAATAAAAAATCTTTAAAAAAAAAATGAAATCTTGCCATATGCAACAACGTATTGCATACGGTATCATGCTAAGGGAAATAAGTCACTCAGAGAAAGACAAGTATCATATGATCTCACTGATACGAGGAATTTGAGAAACAAGACAGACAATCATAGGGGAAGGGAGGAAAAAATGAAACAAGATGAAACCAGAGGAGGGAGACAAACCATAAGAGAGTCTTTTTTTTTTTTTTTAAGATTTTATTTATTTATTTGACAGAGAGAGAGATAGCGAGAGCAGGAACACAAGCAGGGGGAGCGGGAGAGGGAGAAGCAGGCTTCCTGCCGAGCAGGGAGCCCGATGTGGGACTCGATCCCAGGACCCTGGGATCATGACCTGAGCTGAAGGCAGACGCTTAACGACTGAGCCACCCAGGCACCCACCATAAGAGAGTCAATCTCAAGAAACAAACTGAGGGTTGCTGGAGTGGAGGGGGGTGGGAGGGATGGGGTAACTGGGTGATGGACATTGGGGAGGGTATGTGCTATGGTGAACACTGTGAATTGCATAAGACTGATGAACCACAGACCTGTACCTTTGAAACAAATAATACATTATATGTTAAAAAAAAAAAAAAAAGAAGATAGTAGGAAGGGAAAAATGAAGTGGGGGAAATCGGAGGGGGAGACAAACCATGAAAGACTATGGACTCTGAGAAACAAACTGAGGGTTTTAGAGGGGAGGGGGCTGGGGGGATGGGTTAGCCTGGTGATGGGTATTAAAGAGGGCACGTATTACATGGAGCACTGGGTGTTATATGCAAACAATGAATCATGGAACACTACATCAAAAACTAATGATGTAATGTATGGTGACTAACATAACATAATAAAATAAAATTATAAAAAAAAATATCCCACACGGATGCCTGGGTGTCTCAGTAGGTTAAGCGTCTGCCTTCGGCTCACGTCACGATCCCAGTGTCCTGGGATCGAGTCCCGCATTGGGCTCCCTGCTCAGCTGGGCGCCTGTTTCTCCCTCTGCTGCTCCTCCTGCTTGTGCTCTCTCTCACTATGTCAAATAAATAAATAAAATCTTAAAAAAAAAAAAAATCCCACAAAATTCTGAATTCACACACATGCAAAACAATTCCATGCCCTAAAATTCACCTGCAAATACCTAAATATAATGCTCACCTGATCTCTAGCTCAGACGTAATGCCCCATCCATCCAGGTAAAGTATAAGAACTGTACTTATCCAGCGTAATTTGGGAGACAGTAAGGAAAGAATAGTGAGTAGCTCCAGCAATTCAGCTAGGAGGGGAAAAAATTATCCCTTCCACACCCAGAGCCTAGACTAAAGTTTTCAGCAACAGTCAAAATTCTCAGAACAGTCCTGACTTTTCACTGGACTCTGTGTCTTAATTAAGTAGTCTGAGTGACAGTGCAAAAATTAATTTGAAGCTACCTTTCCTCTTCTTTACTCCGAAAAGCTGAATACTGTCTGTCTTGACTATTAAAATCCCCAGAGATTTCAATTCTGCAGGAGCTCTACATGGTTCTAAATTTAGACAAGTAATAGAAATAGTTGGAAGGCAATTCATTTTAATATCTGAACTTTTATGTTGCCAGGCAGCTAATTTCTTAAGTAATCTTAGAGCAGTCATCCGCATCAAAGAATAAATATATAAGCCATATAATCACTGATAGACTCGTAATGGTGTTAATTAAAATATTATCTGTAGGGGCGCCTGGGTGGCTCAGTCGTTAAGCGTCTGCCTTCGGCTCAGGTCACGATCCCAGAGTCCTGGGATCGAGCCCCGCATCGGGCTCCCTGCTCGGCGGGAAGCCTGCTTCTCCCTCTCCCACTCCCCCTGCTTGTGTTCCCTCTCTCGCTGTGTCTCTCTCTGTCAAATTAAAAAAAAAAAAAAAATCTTAAAAAAAATATATTATCTGTAACTTCTGGACATGACCTACACCCCCCTCCCTCCCCAAAACAGGCTGTATTTCCTCCACAAGGAAAACGGGATTTTAAATATTTCAACAGAACATATTAATAGCACATCATCACTTTCCTTACAGCTTATTTGTTTCCACAATCAATGGAACATATAGATAGGTTTAATGGGTTTTACCTTCACTGACATATCCCATTTCACATAGAGCCCTAGAGCAGGATGTTCTCAAGTTCTTGGACCATAAGTGATTAGGGCACACTAGATCCCAATTCTAAGGCTATTTTGGATTCTCTAAAACATCAGACCTCATAAGGAGCCACAGAACCATACCTCAAAAGAAATGTTCAATACAGGGGCACCTGGGTGGCTCAGTCTGTTGGGCGTCTGCCTTCAGCTCCGGTTGTGGTCTCAGGGCCCTGGGATGGAGCCTCGCATCGGGCTCCTTGCTCAGTGGGGAGTCTGCTTCTCCCTCTGCCTGCCGCTCCCGCCCTGCTTGTGCTCTCTCTCTGTCTGACAGATAAACAAAATTTTTTTTTAAATATTCAATATAATAAATACCCTAACCATGTCAGTTTTCCTAGACTGTACTCAAAGTCCAATTGTAAAATATATATACAGGTGAATGCAAAGTTCAGGTTCAAAGCACTAAGTATGAAAGGCCTGGTTTGGAGTTTTCCTATCCAAGGACATTTTAATTCAGATAGCAGAAGATACAAAAAGGGAAACAACTTTTAAGTGGCTGAACTACAGGAAGAAAAGATCTGGATTACATGAGAGTAAGAAGGATATGAAAACTTATTTTCACCTTCACACCAAGTTAGGAAAAAAAAAAAAACAATGCCAATTTTCTTCACAATACCTTGCCTCCGATGGCAAATCATCAGATCTGCCTCTAACAGACTTCATTCTGAGTTTAGACACTTTATTATCAGGTACATTTGGGAAGACACAGAAGGGTCTCAGATCTGGAATCCAATTTTTTTTTTTTACTGGAAATAACTGATGGGGCCTGGGTGGCTCAGTCGTTAAGTGTCTGCCTTCGGCTTGGGTCATGATCCCGGGGTCCTGGGATCAAGCCCCGCATCGGGCTCCCTGCTCAGCGGGAAGCCTGCTTCTCCCTCCCCCACTCCCCCTGCTTGTGTTCCCTCTCTTGCTGTGTCTCTGTCAAATAAATAAATAAAATCTTAAAAAAAAAAAAGAAAGAACTGATAACACAAAGATAGCAAAGGATAATTAAGAAAAGGAAGTCATTCCCCTTTTAAGGAATCATTTGCCACTAAAGGAATCAGGGTTCCTTGCAGAAATGATTGATTCCAGTTCTGAAGCAAGTGAAGTACAAAGTGAGCCCAAAACACCTTGTAGTGCCAGAGTGTAAGGAAGTCCTCAAAGCCTGCCTGGGTCATGTCAAAAGGACACAGGAGTCAGTTTGATGGGGCTCCCACTGACCAAATTTACAACTGCTATTTTTTTAAGTTTATTTATTTTCGTAATCTCTACACCCAATGCGGGGCTCAAACTCACAACCCCAAGATTAAGAGTTGCTCACACTTCTGACCAAGCCAGTCAGGTGCCCCACTGTATTTTTAATACTTAATATTGTCAGTATTTTTGACAGCAGTGAATTTTAACATAATGGATTCTTTTAAAATACTCAATCTACAGTGATCCTCAAAAACAAAAAAAGAGGGAGGAAAAGTAAAGCTCTTCTTTTTAGAACACCACCAACTAGAAAATGTAGAAGTAAATGAGAGAATCAACATTTTCCAACCACCAATGTCATAACCAATATAGGCAAGGATCATAAGTGCATGTTAATACCACTGGGTAAAACATTAAGGAACAGAAAAGTCACACATTTTTAAAAGTATCATCCCACAGACTGTTTCTTAATTACAAAGGGAAAAAAGTACCTTTACAAAGAAGAAATGCAGCTGACATCAACTTAACTAAGTTATCAAACTTTTTATCACCAACAATGGGACAAAGGGACATTATGTACACAGAGACACATACAACATCTTCTCGTCAAAAATGTTTAACCTAAATCTAATCATGACAAATTCAAATTGTAAAACATTCTTCAACATAACTACCCTGGACTCTACAAAAATATCAATTACATGAAAAACAAAAAAAGGAGGAAGAGAACTGCTCTGAATTAAAAGACTGGGGAAAAAATGACCGTTAAATGCCAACACACGACCCTTGAATAAATCCAGGATTGGAAGGAAGGAAAGCTATAAAGCAGTATCTCAATTGTTGAGATAATTGAGGAAATTTGAGTATAGACTATACATAATTATAATATCACTAAAATATTTTGAATGTGATAATGAGTTTTATAATACTATTGTGGTGATATAGGAAAACAACTTTAAGCAATATTTGCTTAAGAAATTTGGGGGTGGGGGTCCCTTGGTGGCTCAGTTGGTTAAGCGTCTGCCTCCGGCTCAGATCATGATCTCAGGGTCCTGGGATCGAGCCCCCCAGTGGGCTCCCTGCTCAGTGGGGAATCTGCCTCTCTCTCTCCCTCTGCCCCTCCCCCCCGCCCCTCGCACACACTCTAAAAAAAAAAAAGTTCCCTTTTCTCCATATCCTAGTCAACACTTGTTAGCTTATCTTTTTGACCATAGCCATTTTAACTATAGTATGAAGTGATATCTGTGATTTTGATTTGCATTCCCCTGATGATTAATGATGTTGAGCACCTTGTCATGTACATACTGGCCATCTGTGCATCTCCTTTAAAAAAAAAGGTCCAGGGACGCCTGGGTGGCTCAGTCAGTTAAGCATCTGCCTTCAGCTCAGGTCATGATCCCAGGGTCCTGGGATCGAGTCCCGCATCGGGCTCCCTGCTCCACGGGGTGCCTGCTTCTCCCTCTGCCTCTGCCTCTCTCTCTCTCTGTCTCTCATGAATAAATAAATAAAAATTAAAAAAAAAAAAAAAGGTCTGTTCAGTTCCTCTGCCCATTTTTAAATCACACTGTGTTTTTTCTATTGAGATATATGAATTCTTCATATATTTGAGGATATTAACCCCTTATTGGATATAGGATTTACAAAATTTTTCTCCCATTCAGGTTATTTGTTCATTTTGTTGACAGTTTCCCTTGCTGTGCAAAGGCTTTTTATTTTTTTAATTATTTTTTTAAAGATTTTATTTATTTATTTGACAGAGAGAGACACAGAGAGAGAGAGAACACAAGCAGGGGGAGTGGGAGAGGGAGAAGCAGGCCTCCCGCGGAGCAGGGAGCCCGATGCGGGGCTTGATCCCAGGACCCTGGGATCATGACCTGAGCCAAAGACAGACACTTAATGACTGAGCCACCCAGGTGCCCCTTTTTAATTATTTTAAAAATAATTTCTATGCCCAACATGGTGCTCAATCTCATGACCTGGAGAGTCAGATGCTCTATTGACTGAGCCAGCCAGGCACCCCCCCACCCCCGTGCAAAAGCTTTTTAGTTTGATGTAGTTCCACTTGTATATTTTTGCTGTTACCTTTGTTTTGGTGTCAAATTCAAAAAAATGATCACAAATACAGATGTCAAGGAGCTTACTGCCAATGTTTTCCTCTAAGAGTTTCATGGCTTCAAGTCTGTTTCCAAGTCTTTAATTCATTTTTTAATTTTTATGGATAATGTAAGATAGTTGTCCAGTCTACCAAACCCCATTTATTGAAGAGACTATCCTTTCCCCGTTGTATATTCTTGGCTGCTTTATCACAAATTAACTGGCCATATATGCCTGGGTTTGTTTCTGGGCTCTCTATTCTGTTCCATCAATCTATGTTATCTGTTTTCATGCCATTACCACACAGTTTTGAATATTATAATATAGTTATATAGTGAAGTCAAGAAATGTGATGCGTCCAGTTTTGGTCCTCTTTCTCAAGACTTCTTTGGCTATTCAGGGTCTTTTGTGGTTATGTACAAATTTTAGGATTTTTTGTCTTCTGTGAAAAATGCCATTGGAATTGGGATAGGGATTACACTGAATCTACAGATTGCTTTGGGTAGTATGGACAATTTAATATTAATTCTTCCAATCCATGAGCATAGACTATCTTTCCATTTATTTGTATCTTCAATTTATTTCATCAATGTCTTAGAATTTTCAGTGGTCTTTCACCTCCTTCGTTAAATTTATTCCTAGGTTTTTAAATGATTTTATTTATTTATTTGACAGAGAGAGACACAGCGAGAGAGGGAACACAAGCAGGGGGAGTGAGAGAGGGAGAAGCAGGCTTCCCATGGGGCAGGGAGCCCGACATGGGCCCGATCCCAGGACCCTGGGATCATGACCTGAGCCAGACAGACGCTTAATGACTGAGCCACCCAGGCACCCCTATTCCTAAGTATTTTATTATTTTTGATGCAATTGTAAATAAGACTATTTTCTTAGTATCTTTCTGATAGTTCATTATTAGTATTTAGAAACACAACTGACTTTTGTATATTGATTTTGTATCCTGCAACTTTACTGAATGCATTTACTAATTCTAACTTTTTTTTGGTGTTTAAGGTCTTCTACATAAAATGTCATATGCAGAAAGTGATAGTTTTACTTCTTCCTTTCTGATTTGGATGCCATTTCTTTCTTTTTCTTGCTCAACTGCTCTACTTAGAACTTCTAATACTATGCTGAATAAAGTGGCAAAGAAGGCACACAGTCGGTTAAGCATCGGACTCCAGGTTTCAGCTCAGATCGTGATCTCGCAGTCATGGGATCCAGCCCTGCGCCGCACTCCGTGCTCAGTCTGCTTCAGATTCTCATTCTCTCCCCCTCTGCTCTTTCCCCTGCTCGCTCAATCTAAAATAAATAAAATCTTTAAAATAAAAAGAATCGGGATGCCTGGGTGGTGCAATTGGTTAGGCATCTGCCTTCGGCTCAGGTCATGATCCCAGGGTCTTGGGATCGAATCCCACACTGGGCTCCTTGCTCAGCGGGGAGCCTGTTTCTCCCTCTACCTGCTGCTCCCCCTGCTTGCTGTCTCTCTCCCATTCTCTGACAAATAAAATCTTTTAAAAATTAAATAAATAAAAATTAAAAGGTGGCAAAGAAAAGCTTTCAGCTATTCACTGTTCAGTATAAGCTGTGGGCTTGTAATATATGGTCTTCATTATGTTGAGGTGCATTCTCTCCGTATCCACTTTATTGAGTTTTTATCATAAATGGATGTCAAACTTTGTCAAATGCTTTTTCTGCATTTATTTAGAGGATCATGTTTCTTAGCTTTCATTTTGTTAAAGTGGTATATCACACTGACTGATTTGCAGATGTTGAACCATTCTTGCATCCCTGGAATAAATCCAACTTGATTACGGTATATAATCCTTTTAATGTATTGTTGAATTCAGTTTGCTAATATTTTGTTGAGGATTTCTGCATACATGTTCATTGGGGATACTGACTTGTAATTTTCTTTTCTTATACTTCCACTGTCTGGCTTTGGTATCAGGGTTATGCTAGCCTCTGAAAATAAGTTTGGAAGTGCTCCCTCCTATTTT